GAGGGCTGCGCCTCTGGGGGACACATGACAACTCAATTCTGTCAATTATGCAGGATGGGGAGGGGGGCCTCAAGAGGTCATTGGTCACCTCCCTGAGGAAACTGCCCAGAACAGCAGCTGAGGGCAAGGCTGAACTCGCAGACCTGCATTCAAAGCCAGCTCTGCCACCTGCTTGTCTCATGAGCCCAGGAGTCACCTCCCTTCCCCGGGTCTAGTTCACTCATAGACAGCACTTGAAGAGCGGGGGGAACTCACAGGGTAAGGCGCACAGAGCACCACGCTGGGCATGAAGCAGGTACACGGCTGGCTCTCAGCTCTCCAGGAGCTCCCGAAGCCATGGAGAAGGTCTGACTCTGAACAACCCACACAGAAGACAGGCCATTCTGCAGGAAGATGGCAGGGCTCCGGGGCAAGCCATGGGATAGTGGAAAAAGGTCTGAGTGTGTGTAGGGCTGCTGAGCTGAATTAAAAGATCATTCATGGGAGCAGGTAGTGGCACAGTGGTAGTGCAACTGGACCCATGTGAGAAAGGTTCTGAGTTTGAGTCCCAGGACTTCCTGTAGTGTGTGCCTATGTTCCAGGCAGGATGAGAACGGTGGTGAATCGCGGTGGAAGACTCTGTGGGGTATGCCTCTCTCTGTCTCTCTGCCTCTCACATGGAATACATAATGAATTAACTTAAAAAAAAGAGTGAACTTAGGGCTACAGTAGCCAGATGTGCATTAGTAGACACAGCTCTGGACATTCAGGGGACAACTGGGGGAAATGTGATGATGGCCCGGGCATCAGAGATGAAGACGTATTGACCCAGAAAGGCGACTGTAAACAAAAAAAGAAGCAGGTAACAGCATTTAAGTATCATTTCACTTTATTGAATAGCACACATGTGCGAGCGCACACACACACATATACACACACACACACACAGGAAACGGGGCAAGGTGTCCATGGGGGTAATCTGTAAGTGGTAACGTAAGGAGCTTTTGGTGTCAGGCGGCACAGCTGTAAAACGTGATGCCCTTTGAGGCAATCCCACAAGGGAAGGTCCCTGGTTCAAGTCCAGAACCCTCCCTGAGTCCACTGGCCACACCTGTGCCCAGAAACTTGGCTGGGTGAGGCGGAGATAAACCGTGTAAGAAGACCCTGCTAGTGGTGCTATCTCTCTATCTCTCACTCATAGGAGAAATTAATAAACTTTCTTTTTTGGAGAGATTTGCTATAGGGTGTGTGCACTTGCCGGAAAGACAGAGAGACAGAACGCAGGAAATTCCTCCCTTGGGGGGGATGGACATGACTCAATCCCTTCTCCTCCATTTTCCTCTTGGGATTCTGGGCGTGCACGTGTATGCGCCTGGCATGAGTTTCAAGCCTCCATATCTGGGACTCAACTGTGGTCAGCCATGTGGGAGTCCAGTGCCATAACCATCATGCCATCTGCTGGTCCCAAACTTAACACACTTCAAACACAAAAAAAGATGGTGTTCGGATTTTCTTCTATTTGCTCATCTATATTTTCTTTCTGTAGTGTAGAAAGGTCTTTGTAAAGCTTGTGGAAAATGTGTATTATGAAAAAAATGTGCATGGATTTCAATATTTTTTTTAGAGATTTTTTTGCTATAGGGTGCATATGCTTGCCAGAGAAACAAAGAGAGACAGAGACAGAAAGCAAAATATCACCCCCCAAGGGGATGGTAGCGCTGCAATCCCTTCTCCTCACTAGCCTCTCAAGGTTTTTGGCAGATGTGCCTGGCATGAGTTGCTTTTTTTTTCTTTGAGAGATTTTTTTTTGCTATAGGGCTCATGCACTCACCAGAGAGACAGAAAGTGAAAAATCACTCCCCACCCCCACCCGCCCCAGGAGTGGGAAATCCTTTTTCTTCCAGTTACCTCTGGAGATTTTGGGCATGCATGTACACATACCCAGTGTGAGTTTCAAGCCACCGGGTCCAGGACTCAAACCACAGTTGACTACATGGGAGTCCAGCAACGTAACCATTACACCATCTGCTGATCCCCCTGGTGTGAGTTTTAAGCTACCGGGTCCAGGACTAGAACCACAGTTGACTACATGGGAGTCCAGCATTGTAACCATTATGCCATCTGCTGGTCTCAGATTCAACATTTTTTTTAACCAAAATAAGTTCATATTTTACTTTTTCTGTGAAATTTTTGGAGCTTGCTCATAGTTTTTGTTATAGTAAAAAATAGTAATATATATATATATTTTTTGCCAGAGAGAAGAGAAAGGGAGTGAGAGAGAAAGAATCTCACAATGGGGGATGGTCGTGCCATAATTCTCCATCCTATCAGGGTTTGGGGCACACACATACACATAACTGGCATGTTTTCCAAGCCACCAGAACTGAGATTCGAACTGTGGTCGACCTGATGAACAGTGCTTAACTCTGTGCTATGGGGCTGCTCCCCACCCCTATTTAATTTTAAAACTAAAGGCAAAGCCCAGACTCTGGAGCCACATGGCTTGTCCTCAAACCTAGCTCCCTGCCCCTTGCTGCCCACAGTAGCTATTCAATGAGCTGGAAGCCAGGGCCGGCTGAGGATGGTGCTGGACACTGAGCCAGCCCCTTACCCAGCAGCCCTAGGGAGCTAAAGGACTGGCCAGGTGACCAGGCCGAGCACGCTCGGACGGCAGAGTGGGGCCCCACCCACATCTGCTGACCTGGAGTCAGCCACCAAATGCGACAGGTTGCCGGGGTTCGTGGGAAACGTCCTCCCACTGAGAAAGAACGTTGGTGCAAGCCAGCAGCTACTCTGGTGGGCATCGCCGTACCCGCTGGCTACCTTCCCAGCCACGACCCCCACCAGACCAGGGCGATCCTGGCGAACTTCAGGCCAGGAGGGTAGCTGTTAGCCCATGGCCGCTGCAGCGGCTGAGCGGCTCCACAGGCTGACTGGGGAGACTGCTGTCCTCTCCGTACAGAGGCCACCGCCCGTACTATGTGATCGCGAGAGGAAGTGGGAGGAGTGCAAGCCAGGCAGCACTGGCTGCATTTCTCCAAGACTCAGGGAGGCTATCCCCAGGGGCTTTGGATCAATGGGGCTGTGTGCTTTTATGGAGAGGGTCCCAGCCCTAAGCACCACTCTGAAGTTTCTGTGCTCCAAGAGACACCCTCAGCGTTCACATAAGAATTCCAATAATGGGAGTTTCCTGAACACCTACTGAGTGCCGGGCACTATGGCCAAGTGCCCTGTCGTATCCTCTCAAGACAAACCCCTTTATGATAAGTAGTATCATTCCCATTTTCCAGAAGTGGACTGGTTTGCCCAAGGCCACATGGCTCGTGGGGGGCAGAGATGAGTATCCACCACCACAATGGGGTGCAGAGACAGCCTTGGAGGCATCTACCTTGGCAAATCACCGAGGATCTTTGAAAAGGTGCCAGCAGGGACCAGCAGATGGCGTAACAGCCACGTCGCTGGACTCGCACATAGTCCACCACGGTTTGAGTCCTAGACCCAGCAGCTTAAAACTCACACCGGGTGCATTGTATATGTGCCCAAAATCCCAAGAGAAAGATGGAGGAGAAGGGATTGTGGCATGGCCATTCCCCCCCGGAGGGTGATTTCTCATTTTCTGTCTCTCTGGTGAGTACACACAGCCTAACAAAAACCTCTGTAAAAGAAAAAAAAGATGTTGGTGAAAAAAAGATGGAGTCCGAGGTGGTGCAGTGGGAAAATGCAATACTCTGTCAGGCCAGCACCTCGGGCAGGTTCCGGGTTTGCATCCAGAGACTTCCCTGATTACACACTGGGCACATGTGGCTGGCTGAAGCTAGGGTGGATTGTGACATCAAGACCCTGTTGGGGGTGCTGTCTCTATTTCTGTTGCTTGGGGAAGAAATAAACTTAGAAAAGAAAAGATGGAGTCCCAGTGTGGGCAATTAAACCAATGCAGGGTGGGGCTGGACACTCCAGGTGCCTTACAGACCTCCCCGGGGAACCTGATGGGCAGCTAGGTGCAGAACCTCTGCGGGGCACAATAACACAGTAATAGCTGCACATGCGAGCTGTCTGTGGGTGTAGTACCCAAGATGGGGGGCCAGGGTGGTGGCTCTAGGCTCACATGGTGGCTGGCTCTGCTCTGAGAGGGAAGTCCTGTCTGAGTCTGCATCCTGCCTGAGGTGGAGTAGCTGTGCAGCCTTGCAAAGTTGCCTGACCTCTCTGAGCTTCAGTTTCCTGGTCTGTAGAATGGGGATGAGACGCAGCTAGGCTCTGACGTGGGGGCAGCCTCAGAGAGGCGGTCTGCGCAGCGCTGAACGGTGCCTGGCACACGGCGAGTGCTCGATAGTACCGATACTGTTCCAGGCACTGTAGTGTCTTGAAGGGCGAACTCTGATCAGCTAAATTGAGCCAGGCATCCTTCCTATTACCCTCACCTTCCTGCAGAGCCTGAAGAGGGTCCCAGCATGAGGACAGAGCTCCGTCTGCTCCGCAGGGCCAGCTCCCTCATACCCTCCCCAGGAAGATGCTGGGACAGGTGCCAGCTGCCCCCTAGTGGCCAAGGGCAGCCATGCACCTTGCCGTTTAACCCAATCTGAACCCCTGCCCCAGCCCAAGCTCCACCACTCTGCCCTGCCTCAGGCAGATCGTGGCTGCCAGGCTGTGCGATGCAGTGGCATAGGCACCTTCTGCCAGATTCTGCCAGCTCCAAAAAGCCACACTGACTGGCGAACGAAGTTCACACAGGACCTGGCAGCTGCCAAGCACCCGGCTACAAACACGGCACGGCTCATGAGCAGGTGCACATGATTCTGAGAGATAGGATGCTCCCAATTCCCTTTCTGGGAGAACAGCCTGGAGCTGCACTGGTGCACAGAGAGCCTCGTCCTGGCAGGTGTGTCCCCATCCTGGTCCAGCAAAGGCCACCCAAGAAAGCCGACCCCACTCCTGAGACACAGAAGTGATCCAAAGCCCTTATTTCCTTCAGCCCTGAAGAACATTGCCCAGAGGGGAGCGGAAAGAGGAAAGTGTGGGCGGGCTGGCGTCTACTGATCCTCCCCTTCTGGACTGGGGCGAGGTTGTTTATTCATGATCTTTTATTCCCCTTTGCCGTCTTTCTTGCAAACCCCTCAGGTACAGATCGGAGGAAAGTGATCCCTGGCCCTGCCTTCATCCAGCTGAGCCTCTGGCAAGAGGGCAGAAGGCAGAGACCACCACAGACACCACCCGAGGGAGTCCAGTCTCCACGGCGGGAAGGGCAGGCCATGCAGAGTACTGAGTGGTCCAACCAGATGGAAGACGGAACAGGAGGGAGGGGGACAGCCTGCCAGGGGCCTGGAAGGCTTCGTGGGAAGGCAGCAGGGGCCTGGTTTCAGGAGACAGGTGGAAGTACAGGAGTGGAGGGGACCAGAAGGCACGGTGTTCAGGAATCAGCCCCGCACCCAAGCGCCAACCACGGCTGCGAAGGAAGTTACCAAGAAAGGTGGGGCCCCTCCGTGGGAGGGTCAGGAAAGATGGGGAAGCGCCCTCACATCTCAAGTCCGGTCTCAGAGGATCCTGCCCTGCCCCACTGCCCGCTAGCACAGAGGATGTAGGACGCAGCCCGTGCCCAGCACAGAAGGCCCCTCTAGTACCCAGAGTCACCAGACGAGGTTTCTCAGGGGGCTGCGGTGGCAGCACGGGTCCATGTCAGAGGCCATTCAGGGCTTGGCGGATGGAGCCGTCCAAGGAAGCAGCCGCGTGGATGGAGACACCGGGGCCACCAATGCTGGTTTCCCAGCAGTCAAACCCGCAGTCACTCAGGGCCTGCTTTGTGGCCTCCACCTCCAGCCGTTCCACATCTGGAGGAGGGAAGGCAGGTCACCACTGGCGACTGCTGCTAAGCACGCTCATCCCATCCAAGGGGCCCAGGTCTTCCTGCGTGACCCCCTGGCTCGGACCCCACCGGTGCCAGTGGGTTCATGGGACTCGGGGTGGCTGTCCACACCTTTCTGCACCCCGATGCCGAGCCCTGTGACCCCAGCACCCCCAGGGAGGTTCATGGAGCAGCAGTTAGGACAGGCTGCCGAGGTGCATGAACCCGTCCTTCCACCATGCCTGTGTGTCCTGACAAGGGGCCTTTCTCTCTTGGAGCCACAGTCTCCGTACCTAGGAATGGGGTAGATACCACTTCCCCCCACACCTCCCCCTCCAGGGCTCCTGCGAGGCCTGAATGGGACAAAGCAGGTAAAATGCTCACAACTGACACACCGAGCTCGCTCCAGAAATGCCTACTGTCACCGTCACACTGTGCAAGTTGTCTGCTGCAGTGAAGCCAGCCACCTCCTGAGGCCTGAAAGTCCCCCCCCGAGGGGCAGGCTGCCTTAGGGCCACGGGGAGCTTTATGTAGAACAGACAGCAACAGAAGGATGGCAACGCAGCGGGGTGAAACAGGACCAAGAAGGAGAACGGAGACCAGGAGTGGGCTGGGAGGGAGACCAGGAGTGGGCTGGGAGCGCAGAGGGGAAGCAAGGCGGCAGGTACCACACAGCGCCCCCTGGAGACCAGCAGCGATATAAGGGCAGATGAGGCATGGCGGGTGTTTCGCACTACCCAGAGTCCCCAGCCAGACCACAGCACTAGCACTGGAGGCGTCACCAAGCCTACTACCCAGTCTTGCTCTTTCTCCGAAGACCAAGAGGAAGGAGACCCCTTCATCGTGTAGCAAGATCAACCTTTGCCCTGCTCGTGTCAAGTGGGAGCAGGTGTGTGTGTGCATGGCTGATGTGGACAATGACAATGCCCACGGCCAAGTCCCATACCGGGCTCTCTAAATGCACATTTCTCCTTGAATCTGGGCAACAATCTTGCAAGCTAGAGGGTAACATCCTTAATTTTACTAATGAGGAAACAAAGGCCCAGGGAGGTCAATTAACCAGCCCAAGGCCACACAGCAGGGCTGAGACTTGTTCACTGGCCTCTTCCTCCTCCCAGGGGAATTCTCCCAGTGGAAACTTTGTAGGAGCCCAGGCCAGCAACCTGGCCCACCCCTCAAGTACCTGGTTTGAGGAGCGTGATGCCACAGCCGCCGCCGCCCGCACCGGTGAGCTTGCTGTGCAGCCCATGGGCTGTAGTCACCTGGCAGAGACGATCCAGAGAGGCGTGGCCCACGCCGAGGGCATTCAGGTGGTGCTGGTTCATGTCGAAGAGCTCCTGGGGGAAGAGATTCAGCCTGGTCCCCCAGCCTGCCCGAGGTTGAGGCCTGTGCCACCCACGTGCCTGCCCTGCCCTTGGCCTGGGATGGCTCATGGCTTTGCCTACCCAGCAGGCTGGCCCTCTCCCTGATAAAAGAATCCTTCCTTCCTGCAGGACTTCCCAGGGCTTAGATGGGACTGAGCTCACCCTCTCTCATGGTGGGCACACATCCTAGGCCTAGCAGAGAAGCGTCCAGCCCTGTGACCACTCAGGGCCGGGCATGTGGCTAACTACCGCCCTTTCCACTGGAGCTGCCACGACGGCCTGCCTTGCTGCAGCGTCAGATTATGAGGGAGATGGAGAGGTTCTCAACCACACTGCATCAGCCTCTGGATCGGGCTATGCCTGAAGCCATTTACCTCTGGTCTTCTTGGGAGCCAATATATTCCTTTCTGCTAAAGCCTGGTTGAGATGGATTTCTGTCATTTGCAGGAAAAAACGTCTCAAATAATATGCCACCCTACAGCTGCCTCTGGGACTGATTTTCAGAATAAGAACCAAGTTGTAGTTCTAGCAAGGTCATGACTGAGGAAAACAGCTAAATGTTTGCCTGGGTTTCTTCAATTATGCACAGTAAAGCCCCTGCTCACCAAGGACTGCACACGATGTGTGTGGATGAAATAATAAAACCAGCAGCTCCCGCTGCCCGGACACCCACTGTTTACATTTCATTTATCGAACGCACACCATGTGTTGGGCACCGCACTAGATGAGAGGGCTCTAGGGACAAGCACCCAGCCGGGTCCCTGCTGTTGGGCAGCCAATACAGGATCCAGGCCAGCTCTGCAGCCTGGCAGTTGAATGAACTGGATCCCACATAGCCAACCAAGGTTCGAGTCCCAGCTCTGGTGGCTTGAAAAACCCGCTGGGCAGGTGTGCAAGTGTGCCTAATAGGATGGCAAGGTTGAGAAGGGATTGCCACGTGACCACGGCCCACTGAGAGTGCTTTCCCCTCTCCTCTCTGGCACATATGCCCTCAGGGTGGGAGGGAGAACAGGGATGAGGAGTCGCAGCTCTGGCCTTCTGGATCATCAGTGCTCGGCGAGCTCCTTTGCCCTACCTCATTTCTCCCTTGCAGACAGATCCTGGTAAGTGTCTGCCTCGTGGACATGAGGATTAAACAAGTCGGGGGGGGGTCTTTCGTATGAGGGGTCCTCAAAGAGATATGGAAAATGCACATTATGAGACACCTACATATGAATTTCAAAATCTTTTTTGCACCAAAATAAACTTGCACTTTAATTCCATTTTTCCACCACGAATGTTTTGGAGTCCCCTCACACAAGGCCTGATTAAGGTGCAAGATTAAGTGCTCTGCACACATCAGCTATTAATACCTTTATGGCTGTGACCCTTGTCCCCATTTTACAAAAGGGAAACCGAGGCTCAGAGAGGAAAGTGACTCGCCCAAGGTCACTGAGCTGAGAAGGGATAAGTTGGAACTGCAAGCCAGGTTTGCCTGATATGAGGCTCCTGTCTACCCTGCTTGTGAGAGCACCCTCGACATCCCTGCTGCAACCCCGATTCTGTGGGGAGCCAGTGGGACTTGTGCGGTGCGCTGCTCGACACTTGCTACCGTGCAGGGCTCCGCTCCAGGGCAGTGGGCACGCTGGGGTGCCATGAGTTGCCCATCACTGAGACATCTCTGCTAAGACTCCTCCTGGTTCCCCTGCCTGCCTGGGGATGGCTGGTTGGGCAGGGCAGGGCTGGCCCTCCCCCACAGCCTGCCTCACGCCCCCCCAGCACTTTTGACAAACGAGCAGACAGGCATGATGGCCTGGTGGCAGCCCCGGGTGCCTGCCACCAGCCGGGCAGGCTGGATGTGAGAGAAGACTTCTGGGGGCCCCTCTCTGCGCCTGAGCGCCAGGTGTCATGTTGTCGAGGCAGGTTCCAGACACCTGTCACATTCTGATCCAAAATCTGTCAAGGATCAGATGACAGGTTGTGACACGGGAGAACAGCTCGCTGGTTTGAGTGCAAAGCTGTCCAGGAGCCGAGCTGTACATTTCAACGGCTGCCACAGCCAAAAATATACACAATGTATAATCAACGCGCTGTTCCGCGGCATTCTCTGGGGGCTCCACAGGGGATATTTTAGGCAGCACTCTATCATTATTAATTTCCTACTCAGGGGGACTGCATTCCCTCCTCTCTACGTGCAAGGAATCGAGAGCCAGGAAGGCACGGACTGGGGAATGGAGGCAGACAGCAGGGGGCACGAGGTGCAGGCATAGGGAGCAGACGTGGAGGTCCCAGTTCTGGCACGCACAAGGTGCTCATTAAAGATGTGTTCAGTGGGGCCAGCTGGAGGGTTGCTGGTTAAGGCAGCTGCATCCCACATGGCTGACTTCACGGTTCAAGATCCGGACCTGGTGGCTTGAAAAACATACTGGGTCTGTGTGTGCGTGCATGCCCCAACTTTTTAGAGGATGGAGAAGGGATTACGGCATAGCCACCCCCAGGAGGTGATTTCTCACTTACTCTCCCTCTCTCTCTGTCTCACGAACACACACACTCCATACCAAAACAAAAACAAAACAAAAGACATGCTGAACGAGGGAATTAGTCAGTCAACCTGAGCCCTAGCTCAGTCGCCCAGCAGCTGGATCCCCTTGGAGGAAGTCACTCTCTGTCAGCCTCGGTTTTGACATGTTTTTGTAAAATGGGGATGACACACCTACTTCACAGGTAGGTTGTTACTGAGGATCAAGTGGCACATCATTTGGAAAAGGCCTGGTTGAGCAGCAGCTTCCACTCATGGTAGGGGTTGCAGATTCGAATGCCCACAGGGACAGGGAGGTGGCAGGCAATGACTGGAGCAGGTAACATGAGGGGTCTTCACGGAAGTTCATGGCAAATGTGTGTTATGAAAAATACTATGCATGAATTTCAATACTGTTTACACCAAAACAAACTTGTACATGAATTCTTTTCTTTTTTCATGAACTTCTTGAAGCCCCCTGTGAAGATGGCCCCGCCCCTCGAAGATCCCCCTCTGTACTTCCACTGGACTCACTGTGCAGCCAGGTCAGCTGGTGGCTGCCTGAGCCTCTCATTCTTCAAGGGAAGCCAGATGGCTTTTTAATGTCAGTCCACATTCATCGGGCCAGATGGACCGTGTCTGAGGTTGGGCCTGGGCCCTTCGGCTCCCTGAGCTGGTGGCACACCCATGGGACCTCCAAGCATTCTTCAGACACTCTGGGAAGGCCACCCAGCAAGCAGAGGGTGAGTCAGGGTTCAGACACAGGCCTGCTCAAATCCAAAGAATGAGGTCTCAGCCTCCTCACTAGGACTGCAGATGGTGGGGACTGCAGCTATGATGACAACGGGTAATTTTAGAAGCTGCTTGACCCAAAGCAGGCAGCTGATAAATAGTTGTTGAACAAACACGTGGTCAGCAGTAAGAGTGGGAAAGAACCTGTCCCTGGACTGACGGAGAGCTCCGTGAGGGTAACACTCCAGTCTACCCTCCCGGACTGGCATCTGTAAGCACCTGAGCCCCCCTGGCCCCCCGCACTCCCGTGACTAGGCACTGCTCTAAGCACTCTCTGTGTGCTCGCTAGCTTAACTACCCAGAACCGCCAGAAGAGGCTTCACCCGGAGACACACTACTTGCTTACAGGTGCACACACACAACCCGGGGGCCCAGGCCTGGGGAAGCCAGTAGTGCAGGCCAGTCTAGGGAGCCCCTGCCTCAGACGGCACATGGAGCAAGCCGCCCGGATCCTGCAGACGGGCTCTTACTTCTAGCACGAGGTACTGCTCCGGGGTCGGGGCTGCTGCCATCTCTTGTAGCACGCGCTCACACTCCAGGGAGATGGCGTCTATCGAGGTCAGGAGGGGGGCCACGATCTCTGGGAACTGGAAGGAGAGGATGGACGGGCTTGTGAGGCCAAGGGGCAAGTGGACACTGCACAGCTGCCCTAGCAGTGTGGCTACAGAAGGAAGGGTCCCACCAACACCCATCCCCTGGGGAAGCTCTTTTTTCAGCCAGGTCCCTGACTTCAGGAGGTGGGTTCTCATTAAAATATCTCCCCAAGTCTCCCTGCCCCCAATTACCCACTGCATCCCTCTAGAGCCCATCAACCAGCGGGAAAACTCAAAAACTCCAAATATGACTATGTCAGGCCCTGCCTGACACCCACCCAGGAGAGGAACAAGAAGCACCTTGATCAACCTGTTTCTGACGCTGGTCACAAGGGCCTTGGTGCTGCGAGGAACTTTGGTGTTGGTCAGCAGAATCCGGAGAGCCGGTGGCCTGTGGGATGAAAAGCAGGCAGGTCTACAACCAACTCCAGGTGAAGAACTGGGTCAGGACTAGGAGCAATCAATGACACCACTTCACCCTGATACAGAGGAGGAAGCACAGGCCAGGGAGGGGACATCCGGTGTTGGTGGGAGCGTGAGGCTCCTGCCACTGGCCAAAGCTGCTCCTCCACCTCAGCCTGGGGATGGCGGACACTCCCTTGACTCTTCACTCTCTCATTCATTCATTCATCTTGAACTGGGCTCGCGGCATGTGCTAGGCACACGAGGGAAGCCAGCTCTGCTGGCGGCCAAGGTCGGAGAGGCGAGGAGAGAAAGTGGCGAAGGCTCTCCCTGGCATGACGCGGCTGCTGAGAACTGAGGAAGGGTAAAGGCAGGGAGGGCGAGTATTTCTAGCAGGGGAGCAGCCTGTGCAAAGGCTGGAGACAGTAGCTCATGGCACATTCATTGAGTCAGAAGTTCATGGCCTGATGGTTAAAGGAGCCAGATCCCAGATGGCCTGCCACACTGTTCGAGTCCCTACCCTGGTGGCCTGAGAAACATGCCGGGTGCGTGTACATGTGTGCCCAGGATCTCGATGGGATGGAGCGATGGAGAAGGGACTGCCACGTGACCACATCTCTTCTCTCTCTCCCTGTCTCTCTCTGGTGACCACACACGCCTTCTGGCAAATTGAAAAAGAAAAAAAAAAAAGGAAGAGGTTCCGAGTGGTTACAGAGCAAAGAGCGCACAAGAGAGGCTGAGGTCAGTTGTGTGGGCCACCTCCAGGAGCTGAGTTTGGGAAGAAAAAGCAACAGCACCGGGGATTGAGCTCTGAGGGAAGACACTCAGGTGGGCTGGGTCGGGTAGCACTATTCACCGAGGCAAGACGATAAATGCAGGCGAGATGGAGGCAAGGAGGTAGCTGAGGCGGCCGGCTCCCAACATGCCGAGCCAGTTCTCACCTTCTCTCAACAGCCCTGGCACAAAACGGGACGTGGTTCCAGGGAACTGGTCACCCCCTCCACTGCTGCAGGTAAGAGCTCAGGGCGGCTACAATAAGCCGACTCTCCAGCCTGACCCGTGGCCTCACCTACCCTGACGAGCTCCATCAGCCCTCCTAAAGCCACAATCCCAGCTGTCCTTGTCATCAGCCATCTCTGGGGGCTCGAGTCACCATTTCTTGTCATCCAACCTGCCTTTCAGAGTGCCACAGGCTGGGGTGAGGGTGGAGAATTTGGATGAGCTCCGGCCCAGCCAGCTGGAGCTCAGCAGACCCCTTGACACCTTTATCCGCGCTCCCTTCGCAGTTGAAGACTGTAAAATGCAATCGGGCTGGAAAAGGCTGCCAGAAACCTGCTTTATCTCACCGCCCATAAGCCCATGAAATTAATATCGATTCTCAGCCTTGGAGGCTGGCTCCTTTTTTTTTTTTTTTTTTAAACTCCACAAAAGATGAACATTCTATTCGGCTTTTCTCTCCCCTTCAAAGACAAGCTGTTCCTCAAAAGGGCAGCGTTCTGGGAGGCCGCATCTTGATCCACTTCACAAACAATGCTTTTTTTTTTTTTAAATGGAGAAGCACCATGCGTGGTTTGGGGGAAAGGGCTCCTCTTTAAGCCATCCGTGGGATTAATGTGGAGTCTGGCCTCCCAGCTTCTCAGAGCACCAGCCATCTGCTCACTCCGGTGCCCGCGGTAAGCGGTGAAGGTCGGTCTGCTCCGCGTTCCCATGGTCGGAGTGGGGGGCTCTATGCATCATGTCTTCATCTTCCTCAGACAGTTCCTCTGCAGGGTGGCCTGACGCCAGCCTCATAAAACCCAGAGCTCCTGCAACACCCATCGACCAGCACTCAGGGCTCTGCCCTGTAAGTGCTTCTGGGATCTGGGCCTGGCTACATCCTGCCCCTCACTCCACCTCGTTTCTTCTCCTCCCTCCCCTAGGGGCTCGCTCCACTCAGCCACCCTGGCCTCCTGGCACAGCTTAGCACATCAGGCACACTCCTGCCTCAGGGCCTTTGCGCTTGCTTTTTCTCCACCAGGGGCCTGCCCTCACCCCCGACGGCTGCCTAACTCACATCTATTTCCTTTGGGTCTCTGTGCCAATGCTACCTCATTGGAGCCCCCCCCCCCCCAAACCCCTCTCCCCCGCCTCCCCTTCTCACCCTCCATAGCTCCCCCTTTGGGCCCCCCCCCCCCGAACCCATCGCCCCTGCCTCCCTTTCTAGCCCTCACCCAGCTTGCCTTCCTAAGCACTTTAGGGACACCCAACGTGCTCTAACAGGACAACGTATTTGCTTATTCCTAGGTTTCTTCTCCCTCGGAAGTGAGAGTTCCAGGAGGGACTCTGGGCCCAGTTGAGGACCGGCACCCGGCACATGGTAATATGAGACTATGAATAAACAGCGAAGAGCCGAACCAGACATGAGAAGTGACCCACCCAAGGGCACATGGCTGCAAGTCAGAGCTCGGCTATAACCCAGGCCTGGGAGCCCCAGAGCCTCTGCCCACTGTACCACTGACCACCTGCAGCTCCCTAGCTCCCTGCCTCCACCCACAAAACCCTCTCTTGATACCTCCTCATGGCTCACAGAGTGCCCAGCCCATGGCCTCGCTCAGCACTTAGGGTACAAGTGGCTCTTGGGAAATCCGAATGGCATGCCCATGCCTCTGTGAAGGGCTCCCCAGATCTGCAGCCAGAGGGATGGTGCCCTTGCTGTCCCCTGCAGCAGCTTTGGAGACCCTGCAGGCCTTCTCTCTCACAACTAAGGTAGTGATGGCCTCCTCCAATAGACCCCAGGCTCCAGAGAGCAGGCCAGGCCCAGGCCTCTATCAGCTTGTTCCATTCCACTGGGACAGCTGCCAGCGCCACCTCCCACTGAGCCCTGAGGCTCCAACGGCATCAACACCACAAGCAGCCAGAGGACACCGTTCAAGCTCCCACATGGTCCTCCTTTCACCTCTGCGTCGGGCAGGGGTTGGTGCCAAGGGTGGCCATGTCCCACGGGACACTGGGTAATATCTGAAAGCATTTCCGGTTATCACAACTGAGGGGTGTGGGCATGAATGGACGGGAGCCAGGGATGCATCTCAATATCCTATAATGCACAGGACAGTCCCCACCAGACAATGATCCCACTCAGAGGGCAATCGTGCCGAGGCTGGTAACCCCTGACAGGAACTCGGAAGGCAGGCATGGCTCATGGACGGTGGCTGAGCTGGGACAGGCAGACCCCAGAGGTGCACAGGACCACCCTGGGTAAAGGAGAGAGCTCAGGACCACCACAGCTGGGGCAAGGCCCATGAGGTGGCACAGCGCCTCAGGACAAACAACACGGCCCAACTCGATTGCAGGCTCAGGCAACGGCCAAAAGGGCACCTGGCTCCTGCTTGCCACACACTGCACTCCCTGCACCATGTCCACAGTGAGTGCCAGCAGAACGGGGTGCTGGCACCCAGCGCGCACACTTGTTCACGCCAAGCGCTCTGGGGGGAGGGGTAAAAAGCATCAAAAGGCCACCGGAGTTTACAGTTGCCACACGCCACCTCTGCCCTGAGCCTTCTGCAGGTCTCTCCTGGGCTTCAGCCCTGCCTCTGCCTTCACATCTCCGATGATAGCCCTCACATTATATGGCAGCGGCTTTCCTGTGCGTGTCTGTCCCCACGCCCCATCCCGTCAGCCTGAGAGCTCTTGGAGACTGGGTCCAACACGCATCTTCCTCTCTCCAGGTCCTGGTCCAGTGCCATCCAGAACAGGGGAAGATGTCGGTTCTTGGTTACTAAATGGATGGATGAATGGATGGATGGATGGATGGATGAACCAGACAGTGTCTGGGAACAACACCTTCTGGAAGGTGAATGGGACACCCGTGCACAACGCTCCTCTCTAATCTGGCAGTTTAAGAGCTGAAGTGAAGAGAGGGAAACAGAAACCCTCTGCCTCATGTCCCTGCTACCTCCCAGGCAGTGGGCTGCACGGGCCACATCAGGGGACTGAGCACCCAAGGACACCTGCCTCAGAACACCCCACACTTTACAATGATGCAGAGCTCCCCCACGGCACGCGTCCACACGGCCAGGCTGGACGTGCTGACCTCCCACGGAATTACCTCTTCAAGACTGTGATGTTCCCCTGCTGGTAGCGGAGTGCTCCTCCTACAGAGAAAAACAAGCGGCCAGGGCTGCAGCGGCTGTGGATTTTGCCCCTGGGGAGAGAGGCTGGACGCTGAGTTGGGGTTGGAGTTTTGTCCTCTCCAGGGTACAAACTAAACAAGATCACTGGTCACCTCAGTGTCTGCTGCAAAGAGACAAGTGGTGGCGAGGTGACAGCACAGCTGGAGCCCCACGGGAAAGGTCCTGGAGTTCATGGTCTGGGATCTCCCTGAGCACGCCAGCCTCCCGTGCACATGCCCACAATTTAGACTGGCTGCGACCAGGGGTGAGTGTGGTGGGAAGACTCTATCTGGGGGTGCCTGTCTCTTTCTCTCTCGACAGAAGAAGTGTATACATGCTTTTTGTTTTATGATAGTGCAGGCGAGAAGGCCCTCTGAGCTCTGCCAGGAAGCTTTCATCAGACCTTGGGCTTATGGGTGGCCCAGCCTCAGTCAGACAGGCCGTGTCATGGAGGTGGGGCACAGAGCAAGTGTCCTCACCGCAGGGAAGGCCACTGTGTTCTCTGCACACCCCGCAGCAGGAGATCTGCAGCTTGAACATCCGAACTCCCCTGGGGAGCTCATCAAAGCTATGGATTTCCAGACCCCCCTCCAAGATTCTGACTCAGGGGCATGTGAAGAAGGGCTTCAGGATTTCTCCCATTCCCTCTCAAACTGGAAAATGCTTATCTTCCTCAAAATTTATTTTGTCCATCCCATGCTAACAGAACCGGGTATCTATGACTGTAACGAGAACATGAAAATTCTACAGATAGAAGAAGTGAGGCCAAGGAGCACCTACCCCAAGTGCTGACAGCATTGTCCACGCCAGAGGGGTTCCCATGGATCACCCTCTCCCCCTGGAAGGCCCACTTGTTAATTAACTCCAAATCTTCCTTGGTCCACCTGGAGACACAAAAACATATCTTTATCATGGTGGTGATGAGGGGTACTGGGTCACCTTACAATAGCAGAGCACAGGAGCTGTGGGCCATGCACGGTGGATGCCAGGAGGTGAAGGGGCAAGGGCCCTTGAACTCACGAGAGCGAAATCTTCTTTAACTGTGCCAAACCTTCCCTTGCCTTGGAAGCCCACCCAGTGCAGTAAGAAGAGAGCTTTGGATTTCTCTGGAACTACTTGGCCTCCTACAGGCTGGGTGACTCTGGGCCCCTTACCTAACCTTTCTGAGCCTCACTCTTCTCACCTGTGCAACAGGAACTCAGCCTCTTTAGAGGCTAGCTGCATGTCATAGGATGCGCCACGGCAATGTGCCCTGCAAGGGGTTCCCGAGCTGCGAGTGGCAATCTATTACTATAACAGAACTCTATGGAAGCACCCAACCCTGAACCAGGACTGCCGTTAAGAATGAGCAGAAGTGTGGGGGCCAGCAGGTGGTGTGATGGTTAAGGTGCTGGACTCCCACATGGCCAACTGTGGTCTGAGTCCTGGACCTGGCGCCTTGCAAATCACACTAGGAGCGTATGCCCAAAATGCAGAGAGAACAGAGAAGGGATTACGCATGGCTATCCTCCCCGGGGAGTGATTTCTCACTTTCCCTCTCACTGCCTCTGTCTCTCTCTGGCAAGTGCATGTGCCCTATGACAAAAACCTAAAAACAGAACAAAAACAATGAGCAGAGTGTGACAGTTCCCAGGGTCCTGCAATTAGGCCAAAAGCACAATCATGATGAATCTGAATTCCAGGTACTCCAGACGACCCTGGTGGGCCAGGACGATGCCAGTCAACTCTAGATCTGTTTCAAGCACATGGTCACACTGCCTTCCACGGAGTAGGTGTGGGCACACAAACAGCAGCATGAACGGACCCCAAACACATGCGTACAGGACAAGGAAGGATGACCAGCCCGCCCCACTTGTCTCTCAGCTCTGGTTTCCTTTCTGTAGATTCTCCTCCCCACGGAACAGCAGAAGCCAAGGACAGCCTCGCGGCCCCTGAGAGTGACAAAGTGCAGTGGCAGGGTTGTAGGCTAAGCAGCGAGCTTGGTCTGAATCCCGTCTCGTTACCCATTGACTTGCTAGGCGTCCATGAGCAACTGCCCCACTTCTGCAACTGACACGGTAGCTGCGAAGCTGTGATTAACAACACGCTAACACTTGCTATCGAATGCCATGGGCCAAGCACCATGCTAAATGCTTTCTCAAATGGACCATCCCCCGCAATCCTTGTACTCCTGCAGGGAAAGTGTAATTACTAACCCCTTTGTCACAGAAGGGGAAACTGAGGATGGATACAAGAGCAGACCCATGATCACAGTGCTACGCGCTGCTCCATCAGAACATCTGCTGACTTGGAGCCTGATTTCTTTCTTTCTTTCTTTTTTTTTTAAGAATTATTGTATTTTTTTCTTTCCTTTTCTCTTCTTTTTCCTTCCTTCCTTCTTTCATTCTCTCTCTTGTTCTCTCTATCTCTCTTTCTTTCTTTCTTACCAGAGAGCGACAGTGTGAGGGAGAGGGAAGGGAAAGTGAGAAAGCAAGCTGCTAGGTCTGGGACTCGAACCATGGCCTGCCATATGGGAGTCCGGCGTCCTGAATCATCACACCACCTGCCAGCCTCTGGAGCCTGATTTCTTAACTACTAAATTTCACAATGGCAATGAGATTTGCTCATTCGCTTATTTAGGATTTACTGAGAAACTACTATGTGACCGTGACTAAGCTCAAAGCCGGCAGAAACACAGACACGGCCCCTGACTTCCTGGAGTTTGGAGTCTAATGGAAAGAGCAGAGATTAATACATAATCAGTTTCTTACTACAGGCCCGGCCTGGTGGTGCAGTGGGGAGCAACCTGAACTGCAGGGCTGGAAGCCACATGGCCAACCATGATTCAGATCCTTAGATCACCCTAAAAGATGCCTGGCACATGGGCCTGGGATCCTGAAGAGCTGGAGGGTTAGGGGGAGGAGACTGTGGCATGACCAGACCCTTTTGAGGATGTCTCTCTCTTGTATACACGCATGCACTATCAAGAACACAATAAACTTTTTAAAAATTTCACTACCAACAAATTTAGTTACACTGTAATATTTAACTATAAAGGGGTGCTTAGACAAGTACAATGCAGGCTAGGCTGGATAGAGCACCTTGTTCTGAATGGAGGAACGGCTGAGAGGCAAGAGTGAGTCAGCAAGGCAAAACGGGGGTGGGTGGGCATTCAGCCAGAAGGGGCTGCTTGTGCAACGCCTGCAACTGGGTAAGAGCTGGCCCCGTCCAGGGCTAAAAGGCAGCAGTGTGCTTGGGAAAGGTGAGTGACAGGGAAGTCACCCAGGAGGCTGACTCAGCCCAGGACCCAGCCCTCTCAACAAATGCTAGTCTTCCTCTTCTGCCGTTTGTTCTTCAGGGGCTCAGGTTCAAGTCTTCAGAGGAGACGGGGCTCCAGCTCCTTCTGACTCAGAAATGCCAGAAGCAGGGCACACTTGCCTATGACCTGCACACACACTCACCTTCTGCCTCTCAAAGCTGCCAGCCCACGTGTGGGCATCTATTCAGGGAGCCCAGCGCAGCCAGGCCTTCACGGATGTGGGTTATAACCAGCAACTGGCACTCACAGTAATGAGCGGCTGTCTTAAGGCCTCTCTCCTGAGTCACCGTTTTATCACAAGATCACCAAATGTCCAAGCTGGAGGAGGCCCCCAAGGGATCATCGGGTTCAGGCCCTAATTTTCAGATGAGGAAATAGAGCCCCAGAGAGCAGGGGCTGCCCAAGGCTATGCAGCAACTGAACAGGCAAACCTTGCTGAAATTCTTGAAAGCAGCAGCCGGGGTGTCTTACTAGGTAGGTATAGTCTCTCGTGGCCTCGACCCCGCCTCCCACCTCCTCTCTGTACGGGGACCCACTCGGGGCAGCTTTGGGGAACAGAGTCAGAGTATCAGCAGCCTCGGGATCCGCAGTGGCCGTGAGGATCAAGGCAACCTTTGGGCTCCGTCTGAATTCAATTGCACTTTAACCAGCATGTCTTGGCAAAGGAATTACTCGGTATGACAGAAACCCTGACAGGCACCCAACCGGGCCTGGAGGAATAGAAAACTATAGCATTTTAATGCCAGAGGAAGAAAAGCTCAACTCAAACTCGGGAAGAGGACAGAGCTTTTCAGCCACAGGCCAGGGCCCTGCATTCTCTGAGTTCTGCTCAACTTTGTGCCCTGCTGGGGGGCCCTGGGGCCGTGGGGCCATGGAGCAGAGCTCTCCCTCCTGCATCCAGCGATGTCTGGGAAGCCTTCTCCTGCTGTCTAGACTGGGAGACAGCAGAGACCAGCAGACCACCTGAAATGGCACAGCTGGCTTCCATGTGGCTGGTACCAGGCCCCTCAGTTGGGAAGGCTCCCCCAAACCTCCCAAAGGAGCTGCCTCATTGGATTTGAGGGCCGCATCCATGACTCCCAGGGCCCCAGCAAATTGCCTAAGCTGTGTGCTTGGGATGGTTTCTCTAGGCGCTCGTCCCACATGACAGATATGATCTGCCACCCACCTGTCCTGACAGGCCTCGCTGACTCACACAGTCAGCCCAAGCTTGCGAGCCACAGAGAAGAGATACTCCCTCTGTGGAGAGGAGGCCAAGGCCCACAGGAGGGGAAGAAATACGGGCCTAATCTAACACATGCAGCTTCGTGTTGACCTCCTGGCACCTCATTTCCTGTCACAATAACCCCTGGAGCATCAGCATCACCGTCCAGAGGGGAACACTGAAGCCCTGAGGGGTGCAGTGACCAGGCCGAGGCGCCACAGTGAGTCACACAGAGGTGAGAAGGTTGGTCTATCTGTTGCCCTTGACAGCCTGGCCCAAGTCCTTTCTGCCATACCAGGGACACCCAAAATGCCAAGATGGGAGCGAGGGTGAGGGAACAGCAACTCTGACAAGGGTGACGAGGTCGGATTCTGGATTCAGACCGCCAGGGCTCAACACCCCTCTGCTATTACTAGCTGTGCAACCTGGGCCAGCCAGCTGACCTCCCCGGCCTCAGCTTCCTCATCTGTAAAATGGCCACCTCCCAGGCGATGAGCTCTCAGTGAGAATCCATGCTCGGGTCCTGTCACACAGGAGGGCAACAACCAGGGTGAGGACCGTGATTACCTGACACCATGCCCCTCCTTCAGCGGGTTTGGGATCTCCTCGCACAAGGTCAGGAGGGCGGCGGCCAGGCACACCGAGTAGGCAGCACTGGAGCCCAGGCCGGCCCCGGTGGGCAGCTCCGACCATACCACAATGTCCAGGCTTGGCAGGGGTCTGAAACACACCAGGGACACAGCATGAGTCTCCTGAAGGGCAGTGAGGTGCTAACACTGAACCGGGGACCGAGGCCGGGGCTAGACCTTGGGAGGGTAAGCACCTCCAGCAAGTAGGTAAGCAGCGGGGGAGTAACCCAACATAGCCCGCCCTGGAGCCATGTTGTCACCATGAGACACTGCCTCAACAGCAGTTACCCCCAAGGAGCTGGCTACTCTGAGGGCAGATAACCCGGATCTTATTTTAAAAGGTGAGGCAGACATAGGTTCGCTCCACTAAGCACCAAGTCTCCGCAGAGTCATGACATGTGAAACCGGGGCGCCTACAGGCATGACATAGCAGAGGCCACATTGTGGGCCCAAGGATGCAATTTGGCTCTGGTTCTATGGAACCAGAGACCAGAGGAAAAAGTGTGGGGTTAAACAGGTAAGCGTTGGGGCCAGCAGATGGTGTGGTGGCGCTGGACTCCCACATGGCAGACCACGGTTCAAGTCCTGGACTTGGTGGCTTGCTTTCTCTCTCTCTCCTCTCCCTCTCTGTCTGGTCAAATTAAAATAAATAAATAAATAAATAGTAAATTAATTAATTAAAAAAAAAAAGAAACAGGTAAGCATCAGTATGAAAGTGAACTGAATTAATTTCTCAGCTCTACCACTTGTAACTAGCTGCATGGCCTCAGGGTCTTAATGAGTCTCAGTTCCTCCAGGTATACAGTCCTCTCCCCTGCAGCCAGTGTACACATGAAAGCACACCGAATATGACATGACCAGCAGGGTGCCTAGCCCCCGGTGAGGACAGCTGACGGCTGCTGTTATCAGACACCCAGAAGGGAGCTCAGGATCCTCCAGAAGCAGCAGTGACAGGGACCCTTCCTGCTCTCCGTGGGAGGCTAGATCGGGATTTCCGCAGGCCGCACACGCACCTCTGCTTCCGGCAGATGGACAGGTATAAATAGAAGAAAGCCAGCACAGCCAGGTGGCCGGTGACAGCACAGTCCTTGGGCAAGCCTGTCGCCTCCTTCAGTTTCTCCAGTTGCTCCAGGGTGGGTGCTGTGATGTCACCTTGCTCTGTCACACAGCAAATAAGCAAAACAGCTGGGTGAGAGGGCTTCGGGTGCTTTTTCCTTTTTAATTTGCTATGGGGCGTGTGTGCTTGCTGGAGAAAGACAGTGAGGAAAAGTGAGAAAGCACCCCCATGGGGGATGAACACACCACAATCCCTCTCCTCCATTATCCTCTTAGGATTTTGAGCACACACGTGCACGTGCACCCAGGGTGTTTTACAAGCCACTGGGTCTGGGATGCAAACCGTACAGTTGGTCATATAGGATCCAGACCTCTTTCTCTTTTTTTGGAGAGGTTTTTGCTATAGGGCGCGTGCGCTCACCAGAAAGACAAGAGAGAGACAGAGAGACAGAAAGCGAGAAATCCCCCCCCAGTGGGGATGGCCATGCTGCAATCCCTTCTCCTCCTTTCTCCTCTCAAGATCTTGCGCACGCATATACACGTGCCCGACATGAGTTTAAGCCACCGGGTTTGGGACTCGAACTGCGGTTGACTACATGGGAGTCCAGCAACATAGCCATTATGCTAACTGCTGGTCCTGGATCCACCCATCTTAACCACCACCCCACCTGGCTGGTTCTTTCAGGTACTTTAATAATAATAATAATAATAATAGTAGTAGTAGTAGTAGTCATAGGAATCTGAAGGTGAATACAATAAATTTACAATCAATTCTGAGCTTCGCAGTCAGGCAGATTTGATTCTCGGCCCTGACAGTGCCAATGTATTGGCTGTGTAGCCTTGACCAGGTGACTTAACCTCTCTGAATCTCACTTTCCCTCTCTTGTAAAATAGGGATAACAAGAGTACCTCTTCACAGGCTTCATGAAAATAAAGTTAAATACAATACACAAGATTCTTAGCATGGCTCCTGGCACAGAGTAAGTGTTCAATTAAAAATACTGTGTTATCAGAAAGTCATGACACATTTTTGTACAGAAAAAAGTGATGACCCGATAGTTTTATGATCCAACCTGGTGGCACAGGTGGGAGCACCCTGAACTACAGCGCTGGAAACCATCTCACCAAGCATGGGTTCGGATTCCCAAGTGGGCCTGGAAACATGATGAGTGTGTGTGCACATGCCCAAGATCCTGAGGAGCTAGAGGCTGCGGAAAGGGGACTACAGCATGACAAGACCCTGTTGAGGTGCTTCTCTCGCTCTCATACATGCACATCGTGAATAAAATAAAACAAACTTAAAAGAAGATCATTAGCAGCCTGCAGGTGGCATATGTCACTGGACTCTCACGCAGTCAACTGTGGTTCAAGTCCCGGATTTGGTAGTTTAAAACTCACGCCAGGCATGTGTGCATGCGTGCCAAGATCCCAAAAGGAGAATGGAGGAGAAGGAATTGCGGCGTGGCCATCCCCCGTGGGGTGACTTCTCGTTTTCAGTCTATTTCTCTCTCTCTCTCTCTCTAGCAAGCACAAGTGTCCTATAGCAAATATCTCCTTTATAAAGAAAAAAAGAAAGAAGGACAGACAGAAATATATATAATTTAATTAGAGTAGTTTGAAAACCCACACAATGAATGAGAGCTCAATCACTTAGGGGCCTGGATTTCACCTTCCATCATACAAAACCCAAATCAAGGCACTATTGAGTTATTCCCAAAACATTTCCTCTTCCAAAAGATAATTAGTGAGACTAGGAGCCAGTCATTGGCATCGTGGTTAAATCAGCTGGATCCCACAAGGCCAAATGGGTGGGTTAAGTCCCAGACCCGGCAGCTTGAAGAACATGCCGGGCACATGTACCTGCATGTCCCAAATCCTGAGGCAAATAGAAAAGGGATTGTGGCATGGCCATTGGCCCTGGGGGTGCTTTCTCACTTTCTTTTCTTCCTTCTCTCTCTCTCTCCAGTGAGCACACAGGCCCAACAAAGCCACAACAAAGTTAAAAAAAAAGAAAAAAGTAATGAGAATACGACAGTCCAATAAAACCAGGGAACACCAAATATTGCTTGGTCAGGAGGGAACAGTGAGGAAGCAGGTTTTTTCCTGGTGAGACAGGAGCCTGGCTCCCCTTCCCCTGAGCTGCTAAGGAGGTAGGGCAAGCTGGCCAGCTCACCTTGACAAGTCGCATCCTGAGTCTTGGGTCAAACTCTAAAGGGAATGTGAAATGGAGTTGGGTATGTCTGTGTTAGGGAACTTCAAGGCAATGAGTAAATGCTGAGAATATACACGCCGAATGAGTGAATGACATATCCACGACAGCCAAAGCAGTGACATTACTGAGAGCCCAGAACGGCAGAGCTCTGTGATGCAGATGGAACGGGTGTTAAGGACCTAGGCTTTGGATAGAGACACCTGGGTCTGAATCCTTCCTGCTCCAGTCGGACAAGCTATGTGACCTGAGCCATTTGACCTCTGAGCCTCAGTGTTTGCATCTGTAAAATGAGTATGAACGACACCACTGACTTTCAGGGAAGGCTGGAGATTCTACAAGAATTCGAACATACTCAGTTCAGGAACCAGCAGAGAGCATAATGATTACGTCACTGGACTTCCACACAGTTGACTGCGGTTCGAGAACCAGACCCAGTGGCTTAAAACTCACACTGGGCCCCCTCCCCCCCCCACCGGGAGTGATTTCTCGTTTTCCGTCTCTCTGGCAAATGCATGTACCCTATAGTAAAAATCTCTCTCAAGAAAACAGATAAACAAAAATGTTTGACTCAGTGCCTGGCGTATGTTTGCCCAATAAACGGTCCCTGTGTTTACTAGCATCAGGAGGGAGCAAAGGGACATTAAGAAGACAGGAGGTCCCCACAACCTGGTGGACAGTTCGGCTTCCTTGTGTAAGGTAGACTATAAGATCTGCGTGCTACCCTATGCCACGGCCCCAGTGCACACCTCTAATCCAGTGGGAGCCTCGCAGCAACCCCCAGCCAGACAACAGGAGTCTGTTCACTGAGGCCCAGAGACTGAAGTGGCCTGCCTAGACTCACCCAGGTTGCCAGAGTGGTCCAGGACGTTTTCTACCACACCTGACCATGGTTCCACCACACCTGGCCACTCCTAGCCCATGTTACTGATGTACACAAGTAGCAGCTGGTTCTCAGGGAACATCTCAGGCCTGGCTGGGCAGCCCTGTGCATAATAAGCAGCAAATTCTAGGTATATTCTGGCAGGTCATTTCTCTGAGGCATGCTTCAAAGCAGTTGCTCTTTTCAACTTTTTTTTTTTTAATTTGCTAGAGGAGTATATGTGCTTACCAGAGATAGACAGAGAGAAGGAAAGTGAGAAAGCACCTCCCTGGGGCATAGTCACACCACAATCCCCTCTCCTCTATTTCTCCCTCCTTTCGGGATTTTTGAGCACACGTGCACATGTGCCCAGAGTGTTTCTCAAGCCACTGGGTCCAGGACTTGAACTGCACATTTGACCACATGGGATCCAGCTGCCTGAACCACCACGCCACAGGTCGGCCCAGCAGTGGCTCTTAATTGAAGGAATCCCTTTCAAAACAGACATGATTGATCCCCTCTCAAGTCTTCTCTTTTTCATTTTTAAATTCCCCCCCCTTTTTATTTATCATAGAGTATCACACGCATCTATGTGAGAGGGAAAGAAGGGAAGAGAGCATGCATGAGCAATGGGGCCTGTCACACTGCAATCTTCTTCCTCCAATTCTCTAAGCTGTCAGGATGTCAGGATCCCAAGGCATACACGTGTGCACACGGCTTGTGGCTGGGAGCTAGGATTTGAATCAGCGTCCTCTGCACAGTGCTTAACCACTGCACTGTTTTTAAGACAAGGTCTCACCATGTTGTCAACCTGCCTGTCTCCCAACTAGAATTACAGGTGCATGCCACCACACCCAGCTTTTTTTTTTTTTTTTTTTAGACAGTCTTGCTATGTTGCCAGGTCAGCCTCCCAAGTGGCTAGGATTCCTAGTGCACACCGTTGCATTTAGCCTTTTCTGGACCAGAAATCAAACCTCCCAGCCTACAGAGTATGGTATCTTAGCAACAGGCACCATGATAGCAGGGCCTACCACTACCAATTCTCAACAGGAGAGGGGCAGGGCCAGGAAGCCATCGCTGTTGTTAAAAACAGTAACAACAACATCAAAAATCTCTTCAGGTAATTCCAAGGCATGACTGAGGTTGAAAATGGTTGCTCTAAAATACAGACTTTCAGGGTGACACAGTAGCCTAGTGGTTAAGGAAAGCCAGATCTCACATGGCCAACCAGTCTGAATTATGGCTTCAACAACTTGAAAAACAGGCTAGGCACATGTGAGCATATGCCCCAAATCTTTTTAAAAAAACTTTTATTTGTTTTAATTTGACCAGAGAGAGACAGAGTGAGTGAGTGAGAGAGAGAGAAAGAGAGAGAAAGAGGGAAAGTGAGAAAGCAAACCATCAGGCTTGGGACTCGAATCACGGTTGACCATGTGGGTAGTCTGGTGCCCTTAACCACCATGCCACCTGCTGGGCCTGCCCAAAATCTCAACAGGATGGAGAAATGGAGAAGGGATTGTAGCGTGACTATGTTCCGCTTGGGGGAGGAAGTGTATCTTCTCTCACTCTCTTCCCATGTGCCATTCTACCTCTCTTTGGTGAGAGCTTGTGCCCTCTGGCAATTACAAAAAAAAAAGAAAGAAAGAAAGAAAAAAGAAATATGTAAACACATAGGTGAAGTTAATTTGATGGGATCAAGATAAAAGACAGTGCTGGGAGGCTGGCCTCTGGCCCCTGCAGGGACAGCCTGGAACAACTCAGCTGCCCTTATTCCTGCCCTGTCTCCAGGGCTCTGACTCTCCCCACATTTGATTTTTCCATCTTGAACATACCCAAAAAGCTTGTGTCCAGCTGCTCGAGCCTGGCCACATCCCAGGTCTGCTTGACACCAATGTTTGGTAAGTTAAGGCACACTTTTCCATTGCTGTGGGGTTGAAGCCGGAGGAAAGTTCGTAAGTTTAAGGCCACGGCGAGCGCTACCTACAGAATAAAGGACGAAAGCAATAAGCCTGCCTCTGGCAGAGTGGCCAGCGGCAACGTGCTGAGGAGCGGGCCAACACTGGCACACAGATCACTCTCACCCATACCCTTGGCAGACACTGCGAATCATTCTTGGCTTGCTCTCCTGCTACACCTGGGCACAGCCACTACCAGTCATCAGAGTTCATGTCTGCTTATATTTGCCTTCCCACATAAAACTTCAGAGGATCTCAATACCAAGGAATTGCTTCTCCATGATCACTATGTTTTCAAAGAGAAATATGAGCCAAAAACATAAATAGCAATGTGGGGGCCAGCAGGTGGCATGGTGGCTAAGGTGCTGGACTCCAACATGGCCGATGTTGGTCCGAATCTAGGTGCTTGCTTTCCCAACTTTCTCTCCCTCTCTCTCTGGTGAGCCCATGTGTCCTATAACAAATTTTAAAGAATAATAATAATGATAAATAAAATGAAAGAATTCTTAAAAAAAAATAGTAACGTCACAGAGTGGCAAAAGCATGTGCTTTTTTTTTTTTATCAAGTTAGCAGTTCTCTTGGGGCACAGCAGCGGCACAACTGGACCCACGTGGGAAGGGTCCTGGGGTGCATCCTGGGACTCCCCTGAGCATGCTGGGTGTGCACACATTTACCCATGATCTGTGCAGCTATGAAAGGGAGAAGACTCTGGCATGAGGGCTCTGTTGGAGTACCTATCTCTCTCTATATATATTGAAAAAAAAAAAAAGAATAAGTATGCACACAAATAAAGTGATCAACTCTCCAAAGTCTTAGCTTCCACATCTATAAAACAGGAAAATAAAAAGATGAACATCAAGGAGTAGTTATAAGGGTTAAAAGGGATAATGCATATTCTGATCCTCTGGCTGGATCATCTTCCCCAAACTTCTTAACACTGGAGTGTCTCAGAGCTCAGCCTCTCTTCTTCACGGAGGGTCACTCCCTAGGTGATCTCCTGCTTGCAGAGCTTTACAGATCATCGTCTTGTGACCTGAATGAGTGAGGTCAGAGAAGCCATTCCTCTGTGGGCAGAAGGTCTTTCCCTTGCTTGGCTGGGGAGGAAGTGACCTCTTCTTGCTCTGCTCCCAAGCTATGCCTCAAGGCTTCCCTTTACCTTCTTACAAGCTCAGTGTCGGGGAGAAGTATTACCCCATCCTTGAAGGCCCTAGGGGTTTTTTACCTTGCCATGGACCACAGCATGTTCTCCATGAAGGATGACTTTCCCCGGAGCAGACACTGTCAACGCTTCTGACAACATGGCTCCTAGAATCCTGTCAGGAAAGACAGAGGGAAGGGCAAAGGTCCCTGATGTGAGAACCAGCAAAAAGAGATTTTAGAAGATGCCCAGTTTAAGTCCATTATTAGAACAAAAAGCTCTCAACCAGCATTTGCTATGTACCAGAAAGACAGTGCAGTTTAGCTGTCAACTGGAACATCATAAAGACCCGGGTTCAAATCCCAGCCCTTCTGCTTCCCAGCAAGGTCATCTCAGCTAACTCATTTAAATACCCATGAACTTTGGTTTCCCTAAATAGTATATGTGAACTATTTTATCTACCTCGGTGGATTAGTAGGAACTTTAAATTAGAGTAAGAGAAGCATTTAGCAGTGACTGATAAATTGCAATCATTCCATTACTGATAGCTATTTATTACTGGTTCTGTTTTTTATTTCAGCTTTTATCCTTACTACTCCTGAAAGTAGAGGGTTTTTTTTGTTTGTTTGTTCATCTGCGTGTTTGTTTTAAGAGAGATTTTTGCGCATGCACTGGGAGAGGCAGAGACACAGAGAAGGACAGAAAAAGAGAACCCACACACGCTCAACCCCGACCCCCAGGGAATGACCACCCGCAATCCGTTCTCCTCCATTCTCCTCTCCGGACTTTGGGCAGGCACACAACATGCACCTGGGTCAGGGACTTGAGCCCCTGGGTGGGCCATGTGGGAGTCCAGCGAGGGAACCGCTAGGCCATCTGCTGGTCCCGAAAGTAGAGTTTAACGAAATCATGGCCAAGAAAGAACCCTAACCTGGACATGTACAATGTTACCACAACTACAGAGAAGGCTCCATAAAACACCTGTTTTGCCCACTTAAGCGAGGATTTCTGCAAGACTCCTAGGAAGTGATTTGCTCGGTCCACGAATGTGACCATTTTAAGTTTGTATAAACAATGCAAAATATCCTCCCTCTAAGGATTTTCATGGATTCTTTTATCCCACTAAGTACGATCGTGATCCCCATTTCCAGAGAAACTAAGGCCCTCTCGCTTGTCCGAAGCTCAAGTCACGTCAGCTTCGAGGTCGTCTGCCCCTCAAGGCGTGTTTTCAAAGTTGAAGAAACTGAGTCAGAGACGCCGGACGCCTGGCCGGGGGTCGCCCTGCGTCTCTGACTCAGACCCCGCGCCACCCGGCCCCCAAACGCCGGCTTCTCACCTGCAGCCGTCACCGCCCCTCGGAGCGTGAGCGCTAGCGGCTCCCGGACTCGTCCACCTGAGAGCGCCCGAGCCTCAAGGAAGGCGGCCTCTTTCTTGCCGCCAGCCAATCAGAGCGCGCGATCTGGGAGTCCCTTTACCAATTGGCTTCAGTATCTGCCAGTAGGTATTATAGCCAGGTCGCCAGGTTTTTCCGCCCCTTTCCTTTGAACCAATGGGAAGCCAGGAATTGAGAGTGTCCCGCCCTGGGGCGAGAGATATCGACCAATGAACAGTAGCAACTTAGAGGTGGTGCGGCCGGCGGTAGGTGGAGTCACCCTGGGGCCTGGACGGGAGCCTGGCGGGGTCAGCCCCATCCAGCTGCCCTGCGCATGGCTGCGCGGGCCCTGGGAGGCCGCTTTGGCCTGCGTGGGTACCTAGGCGCCGGCAGGCTACTGCGTCCCCGTTTCCAGAGCCGCGGCCCGCAAGGCGTAGAAGACGGGGACAGGTGAGTGGCTGGCTGGGAGGATAACTAAAACATCTGCCGCGAATCTCGCCCTGGGTACGTCATAGCGCCATGAGGTCACGGCGGTAATCTCCAGGTGACATCACCTGTCTGTTCTGACGTCATTGTTACAACGTGGAGCTAGAGAGCGGGATTTCTATGCACAAATCCGAAGGAAGCCCAGCTGTCACCCATTGGGGCAGGACACATCCCATGTGGACCAGAACAGCCTTCAACTGGGATATGGATCTATCTTGAAAGCAGTTTATGCCCTAAGACACAAAAACGCCAAGGGTATCTAAAGATGGCTTTCGTCATATACCTTGAAACTTGCATCCCATTCCCAGATCTCAGAAACTCAAAGTATCATGAATTAATAATAGACTAATATATCTGACAAATCTGATAATTTAATCTTTGAATAATCTTGTACTGTGACAGTACAGGATTATGTATTTAAGTGGTTGTGTTGCAATTCCAAAATACAAGTGTTTGAACTCTGTTTTGTCAATTCTTATACTTGAAGCTCCATAGAGTGGAAGTAACCCAGTTACCTTCCCTCCAGGGGGCCTGATTTGGTGGAATATAGGGGAAGAGTTGGGGTAAGGGAGAGCTAGGAGTTTGGGTAGGGTACAGGGTCAGAGGTTCAATAAGGCGGGGACCAGACAGTGCACAGTAGTAAAATACAGCACTCTGCAAGGCTGACCCACCAAGAAAGGTTCTGGGTTTGCATCTGGAGACCTCCCTGAGTATACCAGACATGTGTGCCCATGAACCAGGGCGGGCTGAGGCTAGGAGTGGATTGTGGTGGATTAAGGGCCCTGTTGAGGGTGCTGTCTTTGTCTGTCTCTTTCCCTCTCTCTGTGTGTCTCTCTCACTCATGGAAGAAATAAACTTAAAAAAAAAAAAAAGAAGATGGATAGGGTAGAGGTCAGCCTTGGAGTAGGGCAGAACGTAAGAGGTGGGATACGGTGGAGCTAAGAATTTGGATGGGGTAGTGGTAACAGTTTGGTCTCTGGAGTAGGACAGCCTTGGATATGAATCCTAGCCTTACTTCTTTTCTCCTGGGTGACCTAGCACGGTGAGTCTCACTCACTATGGGTTATACTTTCTCAACAGTCAAATAAGGGTGATAGGTAATGACTGTCTTTGGGGCCGCGGAAGGGTCCAGGGATGATTCCAGGAGACAATGCCTGTAATCCACTTAGCACAGTGAAGGGACTATGGGAAGTAATAAGTCAGTTCTTTCGGTGAATACTTGCTGAACATCTGCATTGAGCACGGCATCAGCTACTTCGCAGATAGAGACATGGGCAAGACAGAGAGCTGGCCCACGAAGCTCGTAACTAGAAGGAAAGAGGGGATAGTTGTCAACCAGAGGTTGCCATGAGCAGTAGGGGGGTAAGTGCCAACTCTGAGGTTACAAGCACCAAGCTGGGATCCACTGAACGAGGTGCCCTCTGGGTAAGCCATTCCCACTCATCACCTCTCAATGTCTATTTCCCATTAGGTCTTCCTTGAAGACGCCCAAGGTCCCCAAAATTTACACCAAAACAGGAGACAAAGGTAGGATGAGACAAGTGGGAAATGCAAAGGAAGGCATATGGCAGACTGCATTTTTTTTTTTTTTGAGAGGTTTTTGCTATAGGGTGCATGCGCTCGCCAGAAAGAGAAAGAGACAGAGAGACAGAAAGCAAGAAATCACCCCCCCAGGGGATGGCCATGCTGCAATCCCTTCTCCTCCCAGGATTCTTGGGCACGCACACACACGTGCCCAACATGAGTTTTAACCCACCAGGTCCGGGACTCGAATCGCAGTTGACTACATAGGAGTCTAGTGACATAGCAATTACGCCAACTGCTGGTTCCGGCAGACTGCATTTTAAAGTCCTTCCTAAGTCTCTGTAGCCATGACAGACCTCAGTATATATTATACAAATGGGATGGGAAATGAAAAACACCCAAAATGTATTAAGTGATAAAAGCAAATTGCAGAACAATTCAAATGCTCTGAATCCATTTGGATAAAAATCGTGTGTCTATGTGTGTTCAGATGTACGTAGGTCACGCATCAGACTGGGAGAGACTGAGTTGTGCGAGAGTGGAATGACCAGAAGGTTCTTGTCATTTACATACCTTTATTCTGTTCTATTATTTTTTTTTAATTATTTCATTAAACTTTATTTTTTTAATTTATTTTTAATTTGACCAGAGAGGGACAGAGTGGGAGAGAAGGAGAAGGAAAGTGAGAAAGCAAGTCTCCAGGTCCAGGGCTCAAACTGCGGGTGGCCATGTCTGAGTCCAGCACCCTTAACCACCACGTCAACCGCCAGCACCATGTTCTATTATTTTTTATGACAAGCATATAATACTTCAATCTTTTTTTTTTCTCTCTTTTTAGGGTTTTTGCCATAGGGTACATGCACTTGCTGGAGAGAGACAGAGAGACGCAGTGAGAGGGAAAATGAGAAATCACCTCCTGGGGGGATAGCCATACGACAGTCCTTTCTCCATTCTCCTACTGGGATTTTGGGCATGCAAAAATACATGCCTGGCATGATTTTCAAGCCTCCAGGTCCAGGATTCAAACCACAGTCGACCATGTGGGAGTCCAGTGCCTTAACCACTATGCCACCTATTGGCCCTATTACTTTGATCATTTAAAAAACACCAAAACATGGGCCAGCTCCGCAGCTTGGTGGTTAAGGGAACCAGATTCTGGGACTAGCAATTAGTGTAATGGCTATGTCACTGAGCTCCTATGTAGTCAACTGTGGTTCGAGTCCCGGACCCAGGGGCTTAAACCTACTCCAGGCGCGTGTGCGTGCATGCCCAAGATCCCAAGAGGAGAAAGGAGGAGAAGGGATTGTGGCATGGCTTTCCCTCCTGGGGGGTGATTTCTCACTTTCTGTCTCTCTGTCTCTCTCTGTCTTTCTGGTGAGTGCACGTGCCCTGTAGCAAAAAACTTCTCCAAAAAAAAAAAATAAATAAATAAAAGCGGACCAGATCCCACATGGCTAGCCATGCAGCACAAACCCCAGCCTGGTGCTTTGGAAAACATGCCGGGTGCATGCAGTACAAGACTAAAATCCCAACAGGATGGAGAAACAAAGGGATCGCAGTGTGACCAAGCCCCATGGAGGGACCTTTCTCCCTGTCTGTTTCTCTCGGGTGAGTGCACACACCCTTGCAATTAAAAAATGTAAGAAGTAGAATCATATCAGGAAAGAAGTGATGATAGGAGTTTCAGTTGGGAGGTAGCAACTGAAAGAGGATACCAGGGTGCTGAGCATGTTCTCTTTCCTGGGCTGGGTGCTCACAGTGGCATATTCAGTTAATAGCAATTTGAGCAATTTTCTGTGTATATGTTACACTTTAGGTTGACTGTCTTTTTTTTTAATCAGAAAAAAAAATCTCAATTTGGTGGCTACACGTTTTTTCACAGGGTTTTCTAGCACTTTCACGGGAGAACGGAGACCCAAAGACGACCAAGTGTTTGAAGCCGTGGGAACTACAGATGAATTAAGTTCCGCTATTGGGTAAGAGGGATGGGCTTAGCGTTGAGGTTGAGTTTGAACTGAGCAGGAATCAGTATAATGTATGTGAAGCTCTCCTGAGCTCCGGCCACGGCTGGAGGTTGTCAACCCTCCGGGTACTTGTCTCCGCCTTTCTGCACAGGTGGGTTAGCCCCACAGGCTGCCAGACCACAGACCCCTTCCCCTGGCCTGACCTGCTCCTGCACCAGCATCCATCCCACATCACACGGTACCGCCTTCCCCTCCATCCCTGGTTCCCTCACTTTCAGGTGGGCACGTGTGCCACCAGGGTTCCCAGGCAGACTGTCTCCACTTGCCGTGGTTCTCCTTAACGATTCCCAGCTCGGCAATGGTGCGGGAACAGAGCATTCGGTAGAAACCGTGCTTTGAGTTAAATGTAATGTAAGCCGCAGCAGGTGTCTGAAATAAGACATGACTATGGTGAGACTTCATTCTTGAACAAACAAGTCATTTGCTATTTAGTTCATTAACATCTTAGGGGTTTCTTAGGAGCAGGTATATACAGCCCCGAGAGGTCATATATAATAGTGAATGATATCTGGGAGAAACCCCAAGGGGATGGAGAACTTCATCCAGGAGTGTCCAGTTATGATTAATTACTGTGGGGCCCTGGGGACACTGAGTGAGGCCCCTGCCCCCATAACTCCCACAGGCCCTTGGAGACAGGCCCAGTGTCTTGGGGTGGAGGGCTGAAAGTGGGAGGCCCTGGTGCCTCTGAGCCCCCACCACTCCTGGCACCCTGCTCCTTCCCACCCAGGACTGGTGTCCCCTGGCATCTGAGCTGGCACAGTGGAGGGCTCGCTGCCGGTGACACTGTTCTGTGCTGGACACTGTGCTGTGCGTGGTGACACAGGACGAGGTGGTGATGAGCACTTGAGCCACTGAGCAGGGACTGGTGCTCTGCTTCTCACTGTGTGACCTCAGGCCAGGGCCTCAGTTTCCCTTTCTCTAAAATGGGGAGGATGACTGCTCATATCAGACTCTCTAGAGAGTCCCAGGAATGAGGAAGAGCCCTGTTGTGTTTGCAGTTGTTATTGTATTAGTTGTTAAATCAGTATTAAAATGCCCCGTAGCCTAATGGTTAAGGGAACTTAACCCACATGGCTTAAGAGAGAGAGAAGGGAAAGTGAGAAATCACCCCCCTGGGGGATGGCCATATCACAGTCCTTTCTCCTCCATTCTCCTCTTGGAATTTGGACAGGTGTGCACACACATCTGGCATGTTTTTCAAGCTGCAGGATCTAGGACTTGAACTTCACATTCAGGCATGTGGAATCCAGCTGCCTTAACCACCATACCACAGGCTGGCCCCGGTCGCCCATTCTTTCCGGGCACCGAGCTCAGTCTGCACCTCCTCATTCAGTGGTGCGATACCTGGTCGGCCTCCCGCTCCTGCTGGACAGAGCCCATGTCCGGGTCCGCCAAATCACTTGGACTTGGCCAGTCCGGGCCTTCCAAAGGGCGTTGCCAACTGGGGAGAGGAGCGTGAGAAAAGGCATGGGGAGAAAGTACCCCCACACACGTGGAAGATTGTGATGTTTTTGTCAACAACGACAACAAAAAATACCACCCTGCCTAAAATGGCTAAAGTGGCTGAATGGCCTCCCACCTGAGACTCTGCCGTCTCAGAGCACCCTTTCATCAGGGCACATTCCTCTTCCTTCTCCTCACAGGTTTGCTATGGAATTAATCGCAGAAAAGGGCCACGCATTTGCCGAAGAGCTTCAGAAAGTGAGTAACAGCATCTCATCCCAAGCCGGGACTCTATCTCTGTGGCCTGGTGACCCTACCTGGATTCTCCCTCCGACCGTCACTGCCTCTGTGTGTCTCCTAGAGCTAGTCACTCTCCCCCTGTAAGCCTCGGCCTCTTCCTCTGTAAAATGGAGACACACACACACAGACTCTTCCTGCACAGGCCAGTGGTCTGGAGTCCACTGAAGGTTGGGGATGCCCCTGGCATCCACCCTGTGTGTAGAGACCAAGGACGCAGCTAAATATCCGACAAAGTAGAGGACCCTGCTCAAAGCGGCAAGGGCACCGAGGTTGAGAGCCCATGTGAAGTGCCTCAGCCCGGGCCAGGACCCAGGCTGGAGCTTGGGGAGCCCAGCTGTAGGAAGCCCACAGCCAGTGGGAAGGATGCCCAATGGTATTACTGGTCTGTTCCCTAAGACGGGGTGAGGCCTCCAACCCACAGAGCGATTCCAACACGGGGACGGGGACACCATCCCAGAATGCTTTGGGACTGCCTGTCTCTGTGGTGACCTGAGGCTTAGGCTGGAGCCCACTTGCGCTTCTGGGAGCCGATGGCAGGGAGGCCTCAGGTGTTGGAACATTCTGTGAGTGAGGCAACTCTGGGGTGAGGGAAGACGTTTTCATCTTCGTAACGAGGAATCGCACATGACGTGGCAGCCTCAGCGGTTATTTCTGTGCGTTCTGCTCATCTCTGAGTTAGGGTTTGCGAGGGAAAAGGCGCTGGGACTTCAGACCCGTCCTTTAGTCACGGCTTCCCCATCACCTCCTCTCAGGCCTTCTTGCCACCCGCTTCCAGCCGGACTGGGTGTCCCTGCAGGATTTCTACATCTTCCAGCCACAGGCATCATGGGTGTCCACCTGCCTGTCCACCTGTCGACCTGGCCTGGGCACTGGTGGGTCTAGCCTGGCCCCAGGAGCTGCCCACTGAGCCTGTGGGCCAAAGTCAGGCAGCGTGTCCACTGTGTCCTCATATGACCCCATCTGAGGTTCGTGGGAGCTGTTGGAGTAGAGGTCAGTGTCCACATTTTATAGGAACAAGCTGAGGCTCAGGAAGGACAACTTGCACAGGCCGCACACGGGAATCGGTGGAGCTGGGCTATGACTCCCAGCTGGTCCCTGGGTCGGCTCTGCTATTGGCCAAAAAGGGGCAGTCCTGGTCCTTGGTGGTCCCCCTCCCACCATGCAGGCACAGAGACACAGCAGTGACTAACTGATGGCCAGGGCTGGGTGGGCGGCCTCTGTTCTCATCCACTGTGGCCTGCTCCACGTACGCTGTCATGGTGGCTGTCTTTGCAGAAGCCAGGGGTCACAGACCTGGCCAGGCACAAAGTCAGAGGTGATGTCCAGATTTCATCATCGGAGAGTCTCTTGGGCATTTGTCATGCAGGACCCAGTGTCCTTTCAGCAGCCTTCAGCAGGCTGCCTCTGCCTGGCAAGGCCACTGCCCTGCCTGGACAGAGTGCAGGCCTCACCCAACCAGGGTTCCTGCTCCGGGATCTCCCGCGCCTTGGCTCACCATGTGTTGCCAGTTCCTCGTCTGCTCTGGTTTAGAAAGCACGTCATGGTTGGTCTCTTGGCCCAGCTGTTCTGTGTGAGAAACTCAAAGCTGTCAGTGGAGGGAAGAGGAAACTGCACAGGGCTCCGAAGCATGGGAGACATGGCCGAGAAGGGTCCACTTGACTGTCACTGGGCACTTGGTGCTCATTGTCTGTGACACCCTGCTGCCCTCTCCGGAGCCCGTTCTCCCGCAGACTGTGTAAGAGCCGTGCCAGGCTCCCCCTCGGCTGGGCTGGCTAGACCGAGTCTGCCATTCAATGCCCAGTGGGTTCCAGGTCTGAGGGTCCCTGACAAGCCAGCCAGCCCTGGCTCACTTTGCCGGCCTGTTAGGGGCTCACCTGCACGTGGAACCCCTTGCTGTCACTGGCCCACTTCGGGTGACCTTCACTCATGCCTTCCGTTGCTTCCCCAGATCCAGTGCACGTTGCAGGATGTCGGCTCTGCCTTGGCGACGCCACGCTCCTCGGCCAGGGAGGCCCACTTGAGTAATCCTCCGAAACCTGCTGGGGTGTTCAGAAGGCCCTGGGGGGGGGGGACTCTCCTGGGGGTTAGGCCTCAGGGCCCCAGGGTGGTCCTGTCAGCCTGGCTCATAGCCCCTGGGAGGGAAGACACCTCTGAGCCGGTGGAAGCCGCTCGGGGGCCACCCAGGCAGGAGGGATGCCACGTGGTCTCCCTTACAGTCTGGTGAGCGATGCCCTCGTGGTGGTCTCCTTTTGCTCTCTGACTCAGAACACACCGCATTCGGGGCGGGGCCTGTCCTGGAGCTGGAGCAGTGGATCGACAGATACTCCAGCCAGCTCCCCCCTCTCACAGCTTTCATTCTGCCTGTAGGTGTATGTGAGTGGCCTTGTCCGGGGAAGGGGTGGTAGCCGTGCCTGCTGCAAACAAGGAGCTCCCACACACCAGACCAGGGTACTGAGAGACACACCAGGGGGCTGGTGGCCCAGAGCACAGCATTACGTACTGTGTACAAGCAGCGGGATCCCACTTGACTGATCAGGGTTTGAGTCTTGACCTGGCAGCTTGAAAAACATACCAGGCACAGACACGTGTGCTCAGGATCCTTACAGGACAGAGAATAGGAGGACACAGGGTTATGATATGACCAGGCCCCACGGGAGGGTCTCCTGTCTCTGTCTGTCTGTCTGTCTCTCATGCATGTGCACCTGCCATCTGGTTCTGAAACAGCACATGGTCTTAGATGAAGCCCTCTCTAGCCTCTAGCATGGCAGAAGCTGTCTTCCAGTCCCAGCCCCCATCTCTGCAGACCCTCCCCAGCCCTGCCCCCTCTGGAGGGGGTGCCCAGTGGGCCCCAGCGGGGCCCTTGGAGGCTGGGCACTGCCTGGTGGGGGCAGGACCTGCACGTCAGAGGAGCTCTGTCTGCTGCGGGCATGGCTACTCAGCCTCTGCCCCACTAACACCGCTCTCTCCTTCCAGTCGGGAGGCAAGAGTAGCTCTGCACTGCACTTCTGCCGGGCTGTGTGCCGCCGAGCTGAAAGACGGTAAGGAGCCTGTAAGAGGGAGCCTCCTCCTAGTGGGCAGGGGCAGGCCTGGCAGGGTCAGTGCCCACCGTCCAGCTACTCGTCAGTAGATCACATGCCTTCATGGCCTACGGCGACCAGGACAGACCAAGTCCTGTCCTCAGCCCTACGCTGTGGAGGGGCCACAGATACGTGACCAGACAAACCAACATATTAATACGACGCACTTGCACATTGCTCAGAGCCAGAGGTCTGTCTGCATGCTGAGCCAAATAGGTTCTTTATCCTGCAGTCATTGATGGGTTCAAGGACCTGGGGTGACACATGGGCTGTGTGCGGCCCAGACGGAAGCTGGGAAAAGGGACCTCCAAAACCTACTGGCAGCCCGTTTGAGGGAAATTTAGAAGAGTTGCACTGAAAAATTTGCCAAATTTCTATTGCCACCTCTCAGACCTGGCTGCCAGCCAGCTTCAGAGAGAAACAGAAATAAAGCTGTATTTTGATGCCATGGACGGGCAGTGCCAGGCCCTGTGTTCATAGTTCAGCAGTTCCTAGAGTAACCCTGGAGAAGTGGTGGCGGCACCCACTTTCCAGGAGTCAGGACATTGAGGCTCAGAGAGGTGACCTCATGGTGAGGGTCATGGCAGAATCCAGATTCAAACCCAGGTCTGTCCAAGTTCTGTGCTCTTCCCACTGCCCCACATCTCAGGTTTTGTCATTCATGAAAGGCTCCTGGGCCCAAATAGTTCCTAAGGGATCCTGGGTAATGGAACTCAGGGTTCAGAGGATGAAAGTGTCACCTGCAGAAAGCCATCCATTCCAGTGCTAAGAGCAGGAAACTGGAGCGACCCAAAAGTACCACATAGGGAGTGGATAGAGTAGACTGTGGGTCCCCAATACACCAGACAGTTCCACAGCCATCATGGGGGCAGGCCAGGCAGAATTCTGTCCTCTCCCCGTCTTGAACTGGGAGGGAAGTGCCGAGAATTCAGTATTGCAAGAAAGAAAGGGATAGTGATGGATGCAATGAGAGGAAGCCGTGTGGGAAAAAGAATAAAAGTGGGTTCAGGCTGTCAGAGGGGGAGCTCTGCATGTGGGACATCTCCAGGTGAAGAAGCTCCACAGTGACTATGAGGTGCCCCAGTGCAGCCTGGAGCTGTAGGGCAGGTCTGGACCTGCAACCTGCCTGGGCCGCTGACCAGTTGTGTGGCCTTGGGCAGGGGACAGAAACCTTGGGATGAGGGTTAGGGCAAGGGCAGC